TCTTATCACATTTAAATATCAAATTAACCATCTTATTAAGTGAAAATATAAAACACTCAAATTATCTCAGTGTAGATTTAGTTAAAAAGAAATCTTTTTTAGAAATTTGTTAACGAGATTGATATTAAAGTAATAACATTTGCTGTTGATTATTTTTGTAGCTGTTATTGCTCATATACGTTAAGGTTTGTGCATTTAAAACGAAACAGGTCACATATATTTTTACAAAAATTATGAAATAAAGCTAAGTGAAAACATTTTCAGTTGCTGTTTAAAAAAAATACTTGGTGACGATAAAATTTGAGTAAAATATGTTATACTTGATCATCGCACAACTTTTTAATTATAATAATCATAATAATAACTTCACTTACGCAATTATAATAATGAGACTCACTAAATAAAGCACTCTAATCTGTAAATTAACATGCGGTCAAAATACATATGGTGGATGATGCGGGTTCAAACCCGCATTGTAGACAAACCCAGTCGATAAGCATGCGCCTGTACAAAACGTAGGTCTAGGATTTCGCTGAATACTGCGATCTAACAGTACAACAATATGGTGTGTAAAAACAATTCTAAACTCAATTGTTTACATCACTTCAAATAACTGATCATTTTAATAAAAAATATAAATCATTGTTTTAAAACAATAATTCATACGTAAGATGATGAAGAATGATTTTGAAAATGTTGAATTATATAGTTCCGTAATTGAGCTTTCATTGTCAGTGGTACATAATTTTTCTTAAAGTTGATTTTCTGAAACTTCGTTTTTTGAGTTGGATAATTTAACCGCGGAGCTTTTATTTCACCGAAAATTTCGGGTAGAAGTAAAATAATGTCCTGTTAACCTTGATGATCATTGATTATTGCTGATTTTTAACAAGTCATTTTCCGCCTTTCATTTTTTTGCGTTCCCCTTTGATTTGATGTTTGCTTGCAAACTTGTTCATGATTTTTTTGATGAGTTGAAAAGTGGGATCGATTACGATGATTTTACCGACTGTTGATTGATCAAAGAGCCAAGCTTCTCAACGTTATGCGTTGGTCTTAGTATCACTGCCATCTAGGATTTCAACATCTTTCTCGCAAAATGTGTGCCCGAAACTGTCCACATGTACTGATGTAAAGTGAAGATAGATTGTGCTGTTTGACTGCTGATTGATATAGATTCACGCGAAGATGAAGGACGTATCCACTTTGTTTGATATAATGTCTTTCTCCATTAGAACAATTTATTCTGTAGATTATGTTCGATTTTTCTCTTATTTATTATTTCATCCTCAGGTTCGTACGAGATTGAAAGAAATAACTTCACTGGTCAGTATGCTGGATCTATTCTAAGTTCTTACTTATAAAGACAATGAAAAGTCAAATGATTAAGCATCTATGGAATTTAATAAATCATTTCTTAGAATATTCTACATGTTAACTGATTTATTAATCGTTTGGCTTGTATCTTCATCCAAGAAAGCTTAGATGCAATATTTCCACAGCGACTCCACAACCATTACAGATCAAAACTTTTAAATAGAATCGGTTTTTTTTTGAATAAAAGTTATCAAATTTTCTTTTCTTTTCCGAATGCAATCCTTGATGAAAACAAAAGTCTGTTTAAACATTTCAATGATATGCTTATAAAGCGTACACTGATGACGTATTATAGCTAGATCAGTAATTTGATACTTGTTGTTCAGTGTTAAAATATCGAAATATTAGAAATCGATTGATTTCCTTTTACAAACAACGAATATACTAACATTACTTGCTTGATATATAAATGGAAGCAATTTAAATTAGTTTTGAATTTAGAAATAAATTCTTCATAAACAATTAAAATTATTTATTTAGATATTCCGTAAATAAATCACACGGAAAATGTTTTTCTTTTTTCCTATAAATGTTTATTTTCCAAAAAAATTGTAAAATTTAGTGAATATCTTTGTTTACTACTAATAAGAGTTTTCTGCTATTTATTCATTCAGGACAATTAAAATTTATGCACAATTTGAAATGAATAATTCAAAGTGAATTGACAAAAGTAGCCTATTTATTTTATCAAGATAATTAATAAAGTATAAAGGACACTGCAATTAATACGTAAAATAAATTCATTCGAAATAAAGCACTATGATTATGTAGACTCATTATTATTGGTTTTCGATCAAGCTATTCATAGGTTTGAACAGATTATTGAAAATCAATAATCTTTTTGAGTAAACTTACAATATAATTAGGTCCATCGTTTAAAACTAGTTAATTATTTTCTAAAAAAGCATCTATCACAAGTGATTCGGTTACTTGGGAGTTTGTTTTCACCAAGAAATGATATCACCAGCTGTAAATGCAGTAGCAGTCAGCTGAAGACGAGAAGCTGTTTCATCCTCATTTCAGACTTTTTAATTTGCGTCCAAAAACATTTGAACCGAAGACAAAAAGTCTTAAACTGACTTTAATAAATTAAGATCGGTATGTGTATAAATTTTATAATCCATATTTTTAATATCGGTCTATTAAAAAAATAATGGTACATGCTGCATGGTTTAACTCCAAGAGACACGATTTCTCAAATATATGTATATATATACACTATTGAACAACTGATCAATGTTTTATTGAATAGTTTGTGAATAGTATTCAATTTGAAGTTGATTTTCATGAATAACTAATACAAGATAACATAAACTATTTTATCTCTTGTTCAATATGATTTTGAGAAAGAAATTTAAATATCCTGTTATTAGATAACGCATCTAATTACAATTACAACAAATGTCTTGTTATTTATTCAAGTAACACTTTAACTGACATGAAGTCGTATATATCATTTCTACATAAACTCTTTTGTTAACATTTTCTCATTATTTCATTATGTGAAATGAAATACTACGTGTATTTATTCGGGATAATTTAAAGTGATGAGATTCTCAAAATAGTAAACCATTCAGATTATGATGATAAACAAAGTTGTGGAGGTTATTTTCGGGACATTTCCCATAGAAATATTGAATGGTACTGTCACAAAAATATATAATAATGCAATCTGATACATATTCTGAAAATAATTACAGTATAAGTACCATTTTACAGATATGATCGGGTTGATAAAAAAAGGCAAATGTAACCTTATAAAAAAGATCAGATTTATAAATCGTTTTCATTGAATAATTGTCACAAAGATTATAATGACATAATATGCATATGTAACATATGAAACAAAATCTATCAATAGAGATCAATGCATTTTGTAGTATAAATGTTGCTATTCGTAGTATACACTGTGATAGCTGTCAGCTTTGTTTTTACAGAGTTGTTATTCATAAGTTATGATAAGCAGAACAAAGTAAAACAATATCACTCTTTAAAAACTAAATTAGACTTTTATTTAGTAAATATTTATTACTGCCTGCATTCATAAACTTACTTATAGAAATGTATGAGATTGTTTGTATTTAATTCATAAGAAATATTTTTTTGCTAATAGATACTTAGATTTTAAATTTATACCAGTAAAATTGTATTAGTTGCATTTAGAAACAAATCAAAAGAAAAATGTAACTTGAGGGAAAAAAAGTCGAATTTCCTTCTCTAATAATCACTAAACATTATTTATCAGAAAATATACTTGAAGTATTTTTTTTTATTTATTTTTCAAAAACATATTTGTATTAAAAGATAACTGGGTTTTTTTGAATAACTTCAGATTAGAACCCATTTGATTATGATATATTTTTACATAATTTTGTTCAGTTCTATCAGAAAACATATTTTTTCCCTAAATGTTAACAAATTTCTTCAAAACCATTTTGAAGAGTGAAATTTTTATGAAAAAAGGCAACATCAAGAACAACGTGAATTGAAAAATATAACCAGATTACGTATATCAAATAAAAATATCTCCTACCTAAGTCTTGACTTTATCCATCTTAAAGATGACTATAATGAGTTTCGCATACTATGCTTCATATTTAACTCGTATCTAGCTAGTAATTTTTCACTTTTCTTGGTCTCTGGTCCCACCATGTAATTGCTTTATTAGTTTCATGTGTAACTAGTAACAGAAGTGAGAATTTCTTTTAATTACCATACCATATTTAAATTATGATGCTTTTTTCCAGTTTTTTAGTGTTTCATCCACCATGTTTAATATATATAAAAGTATATCTACTCTGAAGTAACTAGGCTATGTGTATCGCTATCAGTTTAAACCCTCTCTTTTACAATTATAGTATTCGATATTATTTTGTCACGGTTATTCACTTGTCACAATGTCTAACTAAATTCACAAACATGAAATAGATACATATATACGAACATATAGCTTGATAGTAAAATTTTTAAAAAGAGATCATTGACATGAATTTTATTTTATTTTTTGTTTAAAAATTATCATTGATTAATTTAGAGAAATAGAAATTTTTTAAGCAGGTTTGTCAACGTGAAAATCAATAGTTTTACGAGAAGCTATGAAGGATACAAGTGATATGCATCCCACTAACTAGTCGTATAAGTTCAACAACTTCTTGGCATATGATTAACAGAGTTTAAAAAAAAACCCGTTTTTTTTAGTTTTCATCATTATTAACCTTTATTAGAAATAGTTTAATGAATATTAATTACAAGTCACTTTACAATAAAGTGTTATCATTTAAATAATAATAATAAAGATGCATTTAGATTGATGTAATTTCACTCTTATTCAATTCAATATATGATTAAATGCAAATTTCAATTAATGTAAAGGTTTAGTTTTTCATAAATCAGGAAAGTAAACAGTAATTGCATTCATTTATATATATATATATATATATATATATATATATATATATATATATATATATGTAGAGTAAATAGTATTTAAATTAAGTAATTCTTTTATTCAACGTGATTTGAGTGGCGTGTTGCAAAATAATTGCGATAATAGTGATATTTCTGTTAACAATTAACGTTAATGTGAAAAATTTAAAAAAAAACAAGGTGAACATCAAACTTACTTTGCCCGTCACATTTTCGTATAATTGTATCAAGAAACGTATTTTGTGGTGCTAGTAATCCACGTCGAGTTGTAAACATTATTATTATGACTTTAGATAGTTTTATATTACGCGTAAAATATCAATCTCCATTGGAATGTCATATATATGCATAGTGATTTATTCGTAAGGTTTACTTTTTTTATTGAATAAGAAGTAGTAGTAGTCAGTAGTCAACAGTGAGAAATGTTTACGAATGAATTGAATAAATGAAAAATTTAACTCATCATTTTTATTTGTCATACTTGACTATTTGATTTAAAATGCGAAATGTCAATCGAATTTCCCTTTAGATCATATCCATTTTTCAATTGTTTGGGAATTGATATCATGATAAATCTAATAGATATATTAATTCCATGATTTTTTTAAAAACATTTTTTCGTATATCATGAGAAATAGCTAATCAAAACTCTTCATAGCCTCTACTTCAAATGTTGAGGCATCATTTCCGAGATGAGTATAAATGCGTATACTCAAAAATCATCTCATAGATGAATACTCTCTGGGTAATAATTAAAACACTCGAATAACTTGGAAGTAAAGACATATAATGTATGTGTGTGTGTGTCTTTCACCAATAGGAAATCATTTTACTGGTTAATATATATATATGTATTTATGTATACATGATTTTTTTAAGCATCACACCCAAACTACTCAGTCAAATTTTTATTCACAAGCTTGTATGTGTATATAGCCTGGGAGAATGAGAAACGAGAAAAAAACGATTTTGATATCAATACATTTTATAGCTTTGCAGGGATAAGTGTTTATTCCATAGTAATAACAGATACCTTATAAAATCAGAGTTATTTAAACACGTTATCGCTCGTTTTTAACTTTTGCACATTTTGTTTTTAAAATAATAATAATAATTGTATCAACCAGTCTCATTCGGTATTCGCACACAGTATGTGAAAAACTTCGAAGCAATTAAATGAAATACATTAAGTGAAATATAAGTATATTTTGCGAATTCCATATTACCAAAAAAAAACGGAAAATTAAATCTCTCGGTTCGATAATATAAGAGAATAAATTTTGACTAAAAACTGCTATTTTTCAAGAGATGATATACAGTTCACTAGAAAGTGAGCAAATAAAAATCAACTATTATCACAGAGTACGTAATTTGTAGTTATGATACGGCATAAAGCAGAAAGCTACTGTCAGTTGAATATTCACGGGCAAATGACATTTAAAACACTCCGATTCCTTGTTCTTTGCAAAATGGATAAATTCAAGATGTCTACCTCGAAGTGTTCAACACCGTGTAGGTTTTCTCTTTTGATAATAAGTAACATGAAACGCTGCCAAGACTTGACTGCTTAAGAATGTATCTCAAGGTATCATTTTGATTCCTGGATTTATATATGCTGAACAAATCCACTTTTGATTTGCATTCATCATTTTTATAAAGACGCCGATGAAGATGAATCTGATATCATTAACTTCATTTCGAGTAATCATTTTTCATAGAAAATGCATTAAATTTAAAAAATCAGAGGGCTGGAGATTTATGGAGATGGTTTATTTTAAAACATAATTTATCGACATAATATTAACCACACAACCAGTAAGAACAGGACCACAAACCAGTTGGAGTGCAAACTCGTATTCACTTTATTAGATCTTGTTAGATTACCACGTTGGTATCCACTACATCACAACATCGAATTCATTCTGTTTACGACCACTATATATATATATAAGGGATAAATTCGACCATTCACATAAACTATTAAATAAGCAAATATAGATAGGTATAGATTGTCACTGGCAAAGATTACTTTAAGGAGAAATAAAGACATTTCAGTAAACAGTTTTTTTCGCCATGATGATATCAAACACTAATATTGTGCTCACATATTTATAATTATCTGAATTAAGTGAAAGTAGTATATAATTCATTAGAAAAGAGTTAGACTTATTAACAAATCAATTCATCAATATCTAATGTTAATAATCAGTCAGTGAAAAGATCACATCGAAGTGAATAATTTAAAAAGAAAGTTTCTTTTAATTAAATAAATACAACAATGAAAGCAGTATAATTTGTTATCCTTTGTAGATCATTTCTCTCTGTCTCTCTCTCTCTACAATGAAATAGGATTTCAATGAAGCCAAAGACAAGTCACGCAATATGATGGATGAACTTAAGATTATTTTACCTTAATTATTTTTTCTTATTTAATTTAAATTCATTGAAGAGAAGACCGATTGTAGATGAAAATTTACATCAATCAATTTTGTACTTGATGAATATTTAGAGAAAAAAGAAAGATGAAGCGTACAAGATCATATAGTAATTAAATCTATAACAGAATATAACAATGAAGAATTCTAATCATAGTGTACAGACAGAGATTGAATGAAGTTAACTGTTGAAAACAATGAATGAGTTCAAGCTTGAAATGATGAACTGTTTTAAATCTTTACTATATTCACATTTGTATAACATTTAATTCAAACAAAACTTATTATTAATCACAATTCGTCCGGAAATCATTTGCTTAAAATTTTGCCAAAACATCTCTTTCTAATAGTAGTAATAAATAAATCATAATTAAATGCGTAAATCGATAGAAAATAGATAACGCGCTTATTAACAACAACCAGTCGTCATAAATAATACTTGTTTTTCACTAGATGTCAGTCACCTCTTATACACAAAACAATGTTAGCATACAAATAGTTGTAATGATAATAATTATAATAATTAGTTTTATAGAAATACACATTTCATTTTCACTGGTCTAATTTCATTATACAGCAGAATATTTGAAACAAACTACCTTACAGTTATTAGATTACTAACTTACAAACAAATTAAGTAACAAAACAACTAACCAACGAACTAAGTAAGTAAGTAAATAATTTCCCTACTTACGCTGAGTACTCGCAGAATATTAGACGCCACGGTAGACCGTCGATGACGGTGTCTGATATGCTCGCCAAATGATATGCTTGAATGCTATTATGAGTTCACCTTACTCGATAAACGGAGCGCCGATCAATGATGCAGTGACACAATAGGCTATTCTAATCCGTTGTCCCAGCTCCGGCTAACAAAATCAAGAAGTCTTGATAAGCAGTAGAGAATGTATTCTACAAGCACCCAGAGGGTACGAGATTGACAAACACACGAATCGAGCTCATTTATACATGATAGAAACGTCCTTGGGAGGACCACAAAAATAGCGCAATAAAATAATCCATCAGCCAATTACAGTCAAGGATTTTCCGGGTGGAAAATGTAAGCTGAAGGTCAACTAGGCAACTTATGCGCGAAAACACAAAATATCCAAAACTAGGACCTTTTCCAAGTGAGCTCCGGGGATCAGACGTCCCCAGTACTGTCCTTACAACGGGTCTGGAGTATCTGGCGTAAAGAGGCGTTCATAAATACTTGCGTCTTTTTGAGGATGGTGGTGATAGTTCTGCGAATTTCGCATGTACACTATATTGTCGACAGAGCTTACATAATGATATCCAGTCCACGCTGTTCAATGGTTGTTCAAAGTCAAGGAAGTTGATGTGCGCTGGTGAGTTCCGTTCAGTGGATTGTTCAACAATGATCTGTATTATCACGATTTGGTCGGTAGACGGACGATTTTATGAAATCAAGTGTGTTGACATGGAAGTTCGGCGTCTCTGGAATCTTTCAATTGGTTCAAAAACATTCTGTTGAAAACTTTTCCTGGTACTAATAGTAGAGTGATGCCTTTGTGTCATGCTTGCGCTAATTAAAAAAAAACAATATATCGGCGAAGGGAACGTAAACTAGTGTCATAACAGGAGGACAGTTTATCTATTCTCTAAGGCCTAGCACAACTAATTAGAGTAAGAAGTCTAAGGTCAGCTGGAAGATTGTATAATCCACAAGCAGCTTTGAGTCAAAGAATAAACAAATACTCATTTCAAGCGTAATTTATTACAGTACTAAAAGTGTCCTTGTACAAGTAAAAAAATGGTACGCTGAAGGAGAAAACTAAGCAATGAGGTTTAAGGTCCTTCCAAATGGGAAACACTAATTGAAAGATATAAGGGGCGTTTTTGGAGTAAGCATAAGAAAACCGAATTTTCAAAAATAAAATATAAGATTAAGAGGTTCACTAAACAATTTCCAGGGATCGAGCATCCTTGACACCCTGTGATTCTCACAATCTCTTAAATCCCCTTTATTAAGTATCATGAGATGGTCTTCTTTTCTCTATTTTTTTGGTACATGTCTTCCCTTTCAATCGTTTTCAAAAGAGAGTGGAGAAATTTAGCTGTTACTTTTGTATTTGATTTAATTGCTTCAGCTGGTATGCTGTATGGTCCGGTTGCTTGGCCGCTCTTGATTTGTCTGATGGTCATGTTAAGCTTGGTAAAGGTACAGTCTACAGCACATGTATATTACATCGAACTACCAGATACTATGTTTAAGAATAAAAAGAGAAAAGTAAAATTGTCAAAAGTGAATGAGTTACAACGATAAATACCATAATGATGTTAGCAAAGTTCGGATAGGTGAGGTGTAGAAAGCAGTGGGATTCAGAAGATGTTTTATGTCCGATTTTGGTCTCATAAGCTGGATGAAACTCTATCACGGTGTTCATGTTTACACCTGAACTCGTAGCCATTACTTTTCTTTCCAAACTCCTAGTGTACCACCTATTGAGCTACTGAATGAGCATAGCTAGTTACTTGGTGTGTATATTTTTTATATCGCTTTTAGGACGAAATCAACATCTTAAATTCCACTTCTGACTACAATGCAATCTACTCTCAATAACTCTTGTCATAATGGCCATGTCAAAGTAATCATAAAAGGATGGACATATGCCAAACAAGACTGATCACATTTCAATCCATCGATTCTAAAGCCTAGATTCTATTGGTTTGCAACTGTACCCTGAGATTTGAATCCTTTACATTTTACTCATGTTTTTCTTGTGCTATATATTCAAGATATAACTATGTTATTTTGCCGTATAAAATAACTTCTACTGAAGTGGACATTCACGTCTTCTGAGATCCGTTTATTCTCAA